GGGGATGAGGCGAAGGGCGACGCCGCTCCGGGAAATCGGAACGCATGGGAGGGGGGGGGTGGCGGGGCGGCCGGTGGCAAGGCCTTGTGCGAGTACGGGAACTGCTCGAGGACGGCGCGCTACGGGGTGAACGGCACCGTGCGCTACTGGTGAGGGTTCGTCGTTTCCTGGCTTTCTCGCAATGGATCGGGAGGGCTTGCTCATGTTTTGGCATGCCTTAGCTGTTGTTGACCACCCGTCCTCGAGAGGACGGAGCAGTGGATCGCGGGAACGGGGGGACAAACTAAAACCCCGGCTAGCACCCAGATCGCCTTGAACGATACGACATCCAAAATAGCACATCGCCGAGAGGCACGGTTTGGTTGGGTGCGTGTCATGGGCGAGCACTATATCATATCATACCTCCCACCCATGTGACTAGTTTTAAGGTCTTGGAATGTTGCTTATTGACAGAGGGCATGGTCGTGGGTTCGGGTTCCCGTATGGGGCTTCCGTTGCCCAACACTGCAAGCGCATGGCTGCGGAGTGCTTGCACGCGTTGACCATGGGTCTGAGGGTTGGGCTCTTGTTTGATTGGCGGACAACCACCGAATTTTGCAGTGTCACCTTTCTTGAGACCTGTAAAGGTGGTGAACCGACCCGCTCAGGCAATTTGACGACCTTCGCAATAATGCCATGTCTCACGTACCCCCCCCGTCGCAATCATGTCATATATTGTTGAGTCCCGTACCCCCCCCTTCGCCATTACGCCACGTCTCGTTTAGTCCCGTACCCCCCTCTTCGCAACTATGTCATGTCTTGTTGAGTCACGTACCCCCCCCTTCCCCAACAAGGCACTTTAACACTTTTGTTGGCATCACTTACTCCTTGCCGCATCTTGCGCAAGCCGTAGCATCCCAGATGACACGGCGCAACCCTCCCCTGCCCTCCCTCATTTCGCCTCCTCTTGTGGTTGTGGTTCGTGCGACTGATCTCATGACCGAGAGAGAAATTCTCACATCCATCCCCGTACCCCTTCCTCACATCACCTCCCCCTAAAGAATCATGTACCTACCCCCTTATCACATGCACCCCATGTACGGACCACGCACCCCGATCTTCACACCCACTCCCTCTCCGGATGCGCGTCCCCCCGCCCCCCCCCAAAGCAAATCGCACAGGCTCTTCGGGATGCACGAAATACGACAGAGCTGATACGCAGATGCTGGGGGGTGTGCAAGTACGTCCACCTCGCGCTACCTCAATCCGGTGGCTTGGCTCGCCAGCAGTGGTGCCGGCGGCAGAAAGAGACAACAACACCGTTGGAGAAAAGTGTACCTACCCCACGTGAGCACCAGCGGTTCTGCGTCCCCCCCGCCGAGTGATGAGTGGAAACGGGTGGAGCCAACGGAGCAACTGCCAACGGAACTATCAACGGTCGTATTGCGGGGGTCCTGGTAATACGCAAGTGCCGAGAAGGAGGAGTTAATTGTCGTTGGGGGGTGGGACGGACGAGGAGACAGGGAAGTACTCTTATGGTTAGACCATTGACCACGCGTCGTCCTCGAGAGGAGGCGGAGCATTGTTCCCGCAGGACCGACCACCGATGGCCAATCGTTTCTTCCTACTTGGCCAATGGCGGCTCAAGAATTTCACATGGGGGGGCGGGGCGGGGGGGGGGGAATACTACCAAACGACAAGAATCTGCAACCGGTTTTCTTTGAGAAGCCCATTGAAAGGCCTGGA